TCATCTTCAAATGCAATGATAATATGCAAATGTCATTACTGTGCACAATTAAGGTAGAATAAAGTGTGGTTATGTGACCAAACAGATAATACAGGGTGTTAAACAAAAAATCACAGGGAGGTCTTAATTATTTTTCCATGACTGTATGTATGGCGCAATGTATCGTATATAATACATTTGACAAATTCCACCACCGGTGGCGTATTGTATGCTCACTTTCGAAGTTTCCGTATTATAGGCCGTCCTCTGTCCCCTAATCGTGACGCAAAAACTGGCATTTTTGATATTTGGCTTGAAATGCACATTTGTTGGAGCGTCACTTGTCGGACTATCGTCCTCCGTGATAAATAAACAGAAAAGCGACAAATGTCTTTTTTTTAGTTTATTTTATGTTTTTGATCATTTTCAGCTCGAACATTGTAATCAAAATAACCGAGACCTAGATATAATTTTCGGAAATGATACCCAATATTTCTGGAAATTAGTTCCGGAGATTATATTTAGGTATAATTTCCACAGGTATAATTTCCGAATAGAATTTTCAGTAATTATTTTAGGGGTAGCCCGGAATTGTTTCCCCAGGTTTTGACCCGTAGCGCCGCAGAATTCTACTAAACAGGTAAATGTTTTTTTCATCAAAGGGATTGTCGACGGTGATAGCATGTACATCTATTGCAAAACTGATTTGGACGTTACAAAGTTTACAAGAGTGGCGACGCTATTTTGGAGTATTTCACTGCTTCTATTGATGATCAGTCCATATTTGATTGTTCTCGCAAATTATCTAAATGGAAGCTACAGCTCATCTGCGTGGCAACCAATATTTCATACACTGTAAGAAAAAAATGAAGAAGAAAATTAAATTTGCTTGCAAAATATTTGGCTCAATAACTCTTGTCCATTTCAGTGATCCATGGGATATAACAAAAGTACGAAATTTTATAATTGTAATTACTATTCAAAACTCTGCCCTTCCAACCATATTACACCCGATTCTTGCGATGGAATTTTTCTTCTTCGGAGTGGCCAATTACATTTCTGCTTTGATTGAAGATATCAAGATGATTATCAACAAATTTGGGAAAAAGGAGCATCGAACTGTGAAAGACGATTTTGTTGAAATGATAAAATTGCACAGTACAACTTTAGAGTGAGTAGAATTTACGAAAAAGAATAAGCAACAGTTTTCTTATACCACTTTTTTTTCTCAACAGTTTGATGAAACATTTCAGTCAAACTATGAGCATTCCAATCTTCATCGCCACTACTTCTTTCATGATGTGCGAATGTGTTATTTTACTTGCAGTCAAATACGTAAGATATTTCCTTATCGAATTGAATTCGCTTAAATTACAACATAAATATTGTCGTAATTTCTAGGGCGTATCAACACACGAATTCCTCGACATATACTCGGCAATGTTAGCAGGTATTTTTATAAATACATCGCTGTTTACAATTTGCTTTCTCGGAGATAAATTCACGACAAAAGCAGCTGAAGTCAATGAATCGATCTATTGTTCAGAATGGTACACGTATCCACCGAAAATTCAAATGTTCATCGTCCATATAATGCGACGAAGCCAGAAACCGTTCATTATAAAAGGCAGTTCATTGGTGACGTGTTCTTTGCAAAGTTTTAAGGAAGTAAGTTTGACCAGCTTTTTTCCATCTGTAGGAAATTATTTTGAATTTTTTTTCCTCACAGATGGTAAACTTCGCTGTTTCTGCATTTCTACTGCTACTTAAAGTCGGCTAATGAAATCCTGGCGGCTTTTAACTCTCATTGGATACACAAACTGTTTAAAATATACAATATCACTTATACGTGAAATATACATGAAAAATATTCACGAACCGTATGTGCCGTACAGGCTCATATTTGCACACATACACTGGAATCTCCGAAATTAAATTGAGTATCGAAAACAAAACAATCATTCTTGATGACTATAGATCGTTTACAAATATGTCTATATATACAGGGTGGTCCAGAATGACTTTCACTTGCATTTTAGGTCTATAAAATTAAGTATTGAAAGCACTGTGCGAATATAACTGCATCAGCAGCTTAGTATGCACGAGCAGTCCAAGCATATTAACATTGAACATAATTAAATGAGTCTTAACACAGTAACGTTGTTTTCATTTTTTGATGAGGCAATGGACTGTTGTCCATTCGCCAAAAGTCTATCAACCTTGCCTTCCCAGAATTCTTCTTATTTGCACTACTCTACAGGACTGTTCTATTACCCTTAACATCAAAGAACAGCCAAATTGTTGATAATGGGACCTATATTTTCCAATTTTAACCTAATGATTTCATCTTCATCACATTTAGTTCCAAAGAAGCGTCGGCCATACCATCACTAAGTAAGTTCGGCAAGATGTGTTTGATTTTCAAGAGAATAATTTAAATCAAAAAATATAGACGGTAAATATGATTGACAGGCGTTATATTGTATTTGTCATTTTGCAATTTTTCTTCAAAACATCAACAGTACCATCTAGATCTTCGTAAGATTTGTACATTATGAATGGCGCTATGATGTCGCATTTCAATCAAGTTGCAAAACTATATACTGTCCCAGAAAGTAGGATATATGAAGAAAAGGATACAGTGTTGATTCATATTTTAGTTTTTCAATACTTTACAATACACAAGCTGCGTCAAAAAAAATTTTATGACCTTGAAGAGCGATCCATAATTTCCAGGAAAATTTACCTTATTTGTTTCACACATAAAAAATCGTTAGAAAATTGATACATAGCCGCGTTCTTAGAATCACAGAGTAAGTTCCATTGGAAAAAGGCGTAAGAAGAGATACTTTCGTTTTCGTATTTCAGTTTCGGGCAGTATTTGAGATACCTTTGTAAGATCAACTCATTTTCTGGAGACCGACTAAACAGTTCCATTTAACCAATAAGTTGTGTTTTCAATATTTCCCATTGTTCATTCTTCAATTTTGTTCAATTCGAATTGTTCAATTTTTGTCAGTTTCGCCAATAAACGTTTGAAACTGAAGATACACAAATGAAGACTTTAAACATAAGGCGATAGCTCGAATGAAAATGCGGCAGAAAAAATCAGCAAAAGCCTTTAATGTTTCAAACGCTTCGGATGGATGGCGCTGTCAGAAGCTCTCTGAAGCATATTAGAAGTGGTGAATGTGATTATGACAGATAATATTTGTGTTTACGTTTAGAAACGTTGACTGTCAAAGTAGAGAATGTTCTGTTAATATAAACCAAAATACCAACATGGCGGGCCAAAATGCTGGCATGGCGGATATCTTTCTCATTAAACTACGCATGAAAATATCTCGAAAACGGCTGTGAAAATCGGCAAAATGGACCGTGGTGTCACTCCCTAAAGGGAGTGTAGACACCCGGCTGGTTTGATGGCCCAAAGTTCAAATCCGGTGGATTTGAGCTAATCCATGGGTTCTCGGGATTTGGCCCAATCCCAGCACTTACCCTGTGGTGAAATTCCATACAACTCACAGGAAAGGAAAAGCTGGGAATCAGACCAAATCCTGAGAGCCCATGGATCAGCCCGAATCCACTGGATTTGAGCTTTGGGCCATCAAACCAGCCGGGTGTCTACACTTCCTTCAGGGAGTGACACCACGGTCCATTTTGCCGATTTTCCCAGCCGTTTTCGAGATATTTCGATGTGTAAATGTTTATTGGTTTTGATTTACCACTTAAGAGGTGAGTTTGGATAAATTAGCAGAAAAGCGTATTAAAGTTCGAAATATTCCATCATTCTAAGATATTTTCACTAGAGGCGCTCTTACAAAAATCCATCCATTCAGTCTCCATAAGAAGCAATGTATTGCTATCGGATTACGACTTTAAAGCTTACACAAACATTGCTGCAAATCAGCGTTATCATGCCCGCCTTCGGCGAATCTGTCACCGGCAAAATCATGGAATTTCTGAAGAAAGCTGCGCTTACTCTATTTCCAACTTATGCAGCTATAACGGCATTTGCTTTTGTAGTCGTTCACATTGATAATTTATCGCGTGTGGCCCCTTCAATAAACGTCAGTGTTGAATGTTTGATTACAATTTCGTTGAATATTGCATTTTCCTTCAAAACAAAAAGTCTGAAACACCTCTTGAAAAATATCGAAGACTTGCTCAATGAAAGTGAGTACGAAAGACCATTCCTATTATAGAATATTTGAGTCGATTTTATTTTTTCTGCGAATATTTTTCAAATACACTGCACCAGGAATTAGAAAGAGCAACTTCGGAAGTGAATATTATCAAACCGATTTAGATGTGACTAAATTCACGAAAACTGTTGCATTGTGGTGGTGGATATCTGTATCCGTTTTGCCTGTCGTCCCATACTTGCTTGTTCTTGCAGATTATCTTACTGAAAATTATGGCTTATCGTCATGGAAACTGTTTTATGAATCTCTGTAAGGACGGTACTATGCAGTCTAGGGTGTAAAATCATTTTTTTCATCTTTTATATCCGTACGCATCAAGTAATAACTTGGAAATTCAATGGTATGCATGTAAATCCGAAATATCCATGTGTATTCAACAATATTCATCGTGAACGACAAATGAATATTACTGAATATACATAGGTATGTCAAATTTACGTGTATACGTATGAAAAATAAAAATAATAGTGAATCAAACCTTCAACCGTAAATTTGAACGATTTTGGTAGATAACGGTGAATATTGGAACATTTTTTGACATTACAGTCTAATGAATATTATTAAATATACATAGATATTTGAGATTGACGTGCACTTGTGCAGATTGTATAGTCAAAAAATGTTCCAATATTCACCGTAATCCACCAAAATCTGCCACAATCCTTCAAAAGTGGTTCAAATTTCCGGTTGAAAGTTTGATTCACTATTATTTTTATTTTTTCAGAGTTATTTGCGTTCTGCAAAATCGCGTGAAGCTCCTAGGATGCAGTATAATTTGAACGAAGACTTGAAATTTTTTTGGGTTTCGTTAAAGTTATGATTGAGGTATGACCGAAGAAAAAAACCGAATATTGGAGATATCTATTCAGAGTTGTGCTGTAGCTTCATCCATTATTTACCCCGTTCTTTGCACGCAGTTCTTATTCTTTGCAATGGTTCAGTATTTTTCTACTTTTATCGAAGATGTTAAGAAAGTGATTAGACAATTCGATGGATCTAATGTTCGAAAGAAATTTATTGAAGTTATCCATTTGCATCGCACGAGTTTGAAGTATGGTGTCCAGTTTTTTTGGTGATGGTGGACATTTTAAAAAAATCTTCTTTTTTCAGATTGGTCAAAGATTACGCTCAGATTATGGATGCTCCCATTTTCGCCGTCATCACTCTCCTTCTCGTTTGTTTGTACATGGCTTTACTTCACATCAAGGATGTGAAATTTTTTTATTTCGACATAGAACAAGAACTATGAACGTCAATTCATTTACCATCTTCTATTAATTCCGCAGAGTTTATCAAGACGAGACTATGCCGATATACATTTGTCGGTGACTGGCTTTTTCTTTGTCATTCAAGGCGTATTCTCGTTTTGTTACCTTGGAGCTCAAATCACCGCCAAAGCAGCTGAAGTGAATGAATCGATTTATTGTTCGGAATGGTACACGTATCCACCGACAATCCAAATGTTCATTGTCTATATAATGAGACGTAGCCAAAAACCGTTCATTCTAACCGGATATTCATTGGTGTCTTGTTCATTGCAGAGTTTCAAAGATGTGAGTGAATTATCCTCAAGCGATAACATTGGTAGAGGAAAATTCTGAAAAAAAAACAAAAAAACTGCGATTTTTCATTTCAGATGCTGAACTTTGTTGCCTCTGTGTTTGTGCTGCTTCTGAAAGTCAGCAAATAAAGTGGTTTCGATATTGAGGCATAGAATGTAAAATCAACAAAAAAATCGATTGGATTTGAAAAAAATCCATTTTTGATGTTGTTGTCTTTGCATGTTTAATTGAAATGTAGATGTTGTGTCACACTGGAGAAGATGTTCAATAAAGAGAAAATATTGCCACCACACAAACGATTAGAGTTTTATTTTACGTTTTATGGCCCATGTTTCTGGGCGAATCGTTTTCCCCGTCTAATAAGTGGTTTGTTCTGATTGGAACTTTCCATTTTGTTTGAAAAAATATGTGGCGTAACGTTTAAGCCCTGCAATTAGAGTCAAATGGTAATTAATAATACTGGCAGCTTCAACATATAAAACGATTGACAATCAGCAATTGCAGTCACTAGTTGAAACGTTGCTTTTTTGGTGAAGACGTGAAAATAACTGGAAGAATTCAGTCAACGTTCAGTTGTTCAAAGAAATGTAATAGGAAAATACTTGTGTTATTTCATAAGGCTTCAAAGTTATTAAATATCAAAAACCGGTTAAAATATTCGTTGAATTTGTTGTGCCAAATGTCATGAAAGTCCATTTCTGATGTATCAACCAAAATCATTTAGCATATTCGTATTATTGTCGCAACCAACATTAGTATTTTTCATCGGTTTGATTTCGTTCATTCATTATTTAGTATTTGCATGAAGACATTTATTTAATATGAATTTTATCAAAGTGTGAAGAAAATGAAACCAATAATTTCGATTCTATTTCTTCAACATAAATCATTATGTTATACAGATCTGTATTCCCATTTTTAAACTCTATGGGCATCTGCTTTGAAACATTATTTATTTCATGTTTTGGGGATTCTTGTATTTTCTTTTCAAGTAAGTGGCGATGTCGTGTTCGGGAATCTAAAAATACTGTTTCGGAGAGCATTCAAATAAAATGAAAGCGATAACGGAAAAGACTTAAAAAATCGCCATAATTTCCAAGAAAATTTACCTTAATTTTTCCAAAATTACCCGGATATAGCTACATACCGCGTTCTTGGAATCACAAAATTAATTCTATTGGAAAATAAGGGCGATTGGATTTTTCCGAGTTTCGATAGGCTTAAAGTTCGAAAAAAGAAAACAAACATTCAGCTTCAAGTATGAATTAATTATGACTTTTTAATTAGATTAAGTGTAATGAGTGCAAACGTACTCGTGCGACTATGGTAAGCATAGCCGCACGACGGAAGCCGCACGAGCGGCGTATCAATGAATAGCACATATCAAAATGTAATAACATGTAACGAAATAAACCTCAGTCTTGAATTGTGCGTTAATAAAATTGGTCTTGCGTCATTTGTGAATAAAAAGGAAAGATTTGATCATCATCAAGGTAAACCATCGAGGCAAATGCCTAAGATTTGATCATCACCAGGGTAAACTATCGAAGCAATTACCTAAAAAGGTAGTGCTACCTGCTATATAAGGTTTTGGACTTCCATCGAAAGAGATGGCGAATACAAGTTGTATATATCCATCTCTCTTACTCCTCGAAACCAAAGTCAAAAACCTTATAACGTGCGTCTTGCTAACTCCCTGTGTAAACGTTCGAAACTGAAGATACACAAATGAGGATTCTAAAGCTGCAAATCAATGTCATCTTGCCCTCGTTTGAAAATTTTCATTTATTCATATCGACCATTCCACACAAAATCGACCAAGAATTATATATATAAAGAGTGGAAATCAGCAATTGCAGTTAGTAGTTGCTGGACTTTTGCGAAAATTTACATTTTTGGTGAAAAAACGGAATAACCGTGTTACTGAGTAAGTTTTTCGTTTTGATCAGTTTTTTTTTCATTTCTTAGCTCATTTGCAACAATCAAATTTTCCCTCAAAGAAAATGAAAGTTTTACAATTCACGCGAAATTTGATGAAGATCAGTGGTATTTTACCAAGATTTGACGGATCTTTTATGGGGAAAACGATGGAAGTACTAAAATTGATTCTCCTTTCGCTTGGTCCAACGTACGCGAGCGTGTCGACATTTGCCTTAGCCGTCGTTAGTCTCGAAAATTTGCCACTTATGACCTCGTCATTGTACATTTGCATTGGCTGCGCCATTTCTATTTCCCTGCATTTTTCGCACTGCTTGCAGTCACACAGAGTTCAAAAACTTTTAGAGGACTTGCAATTACTTGTAAATGAAAGTAGGCATTTCAAAAATCATTGAAACGGAATTTTCTCTAAATATTAAATTCATCTTTTGATTAGGATGTGGATTCCCTGATTTTGGATATGCATATTCCAAGGCCGATTCAGCCATAACCAAACTAACCAGAACAATCGGAATATGTTGGTGCATATTGATTTTTTTTTTGATCAGCAGCCCATTCATGGGTGCACTACACGATTATATCATTGGGAAATACAGCAAATCATCATGGGCCCTTATTTATCCAACATTGTAGGAGATAGATTATTCTACATCTGTATTTTATATTTCATCTTGCCAACGATGACTTCTTTCATTTCAAGAAACCCATGGGACATGACGAAAGAGCGAAATATCATAATGACAGTCGTTGTTCAAACTTGCTGCGCAGCACCGGTCATAGTGTACTATATTCTGATTCCGCAGTTCTTATTTCTAGCAATCAATCGATATTTTCACACATTTATCGAAGATGTTGAGATGGTCATCAAGCGATTCGATAAGAAGGAAAATCGTGATCTCAAAGGCAATTTCGTAGAAATGATCAATTTGCATTCGAAGAGTTTAGAGTAAGATTTCGCAATATTTATTAACAAAATGTGAAAATATCCCATTTAATTCCGCTTGTATTTTTTCTAACTCAGAATTATCGGAAACTATGGCCAAATTATGAATGCGCCAATTTTCATTGTCAATACATTCAATTTGATATGCATGTGCACGATTTTGTTCCAAGTAAAAGACGTGAGTGTTTCGTTTGAAAACCCTTGAAAATCACAGTTTTTTTTGTCAATTCTGTCTTTTCTGTTCTTTCCAGAGTATATCGAAACGTGATTATGCTGAGCTACATTTGGCGGTGACTGCAAATTTCGTAATTTTCCAAATGGTATTCTCATTTTGTTTTCTCGGAGATCAAATAACGACCAAAGCATCTGAAGTCAAAGAATCGATTTATGATTGCAATTGGTACAACTATTCATCAAAATTGCAAAAGTTCATAATTCCAACAATCAATCGCGCTCATAAGCCCTTCATATTTACTGGCTACGCATTGGTGTCCTGCTCATTAGAAAGTTTCAAAGAAGTAAGTTAATTATGGAAAATGTCATTTTTGGTTCATTCTTAAATTATCGACTTACATTGCAGATGCTGAGTTTTGTTTTATCCGCATTTTTAATGCTGATAAAAATCAGTGAATAAATTTTGAGTCAAAATCTTTGATTCAAAGATTATTTTTCCTTTATGGTCGAAATATTTGATATATATCTACTTATATCTAATACCAAATTGTTGTTAACACTAAATTCTAAATGGTTGTGAACACTGAACACATCAGTTTATTAGATCACATTTATTTTCACTCAATTTGGCAGGTCAAGATTATTCTTACCGATTCAATGGTCCTTTTGTTTTAAACAATAATTATTTATAATCAAAATAATCCATAGATGATGAGTTTCATTGTCTCGGCATTCTTATTGCTTCAGAAAATAAAGGATTAACTGATGAAATTCGAATTTGGTACAGTCAAAAAGCCAATTGAATCAACTTGGTAGAGAGCACTTCAAATCGATATTATTTTTATCAAATATTGAAGTATGAGAAAGGTTCATGTGTTGATATTGTAGAGTCAAAATAACTGAACTTAAATTTTAGTTTAAAATTCACTTTATTTAGCTGTTAAACCGTTGAAATTTACACTTGATTTGTAACTAACTATTTTACTTAAAATCCAAGCTTTTTATATGATCAAACTTGGTTATGTTGCAACTGTCTAACTGCAATTAAATTGGTAAATATACTTTTTCCATTCATTATGGCCATGATGATTCGTGGACAGATATGTTAGAATATAATGTTCATATTGCCACATGCACATATAAAAATAATAAATTTCAACGCATAAAATATACTATATTCTCATGTACACATGTTTACACTTTTGAATGTTAAAGGGCTTGCTACAGCTACAACCAATTATTTAGTGAAAAATATATGGAAGAATCTATGTATGTTGTTCAAATAAAGTGAGTTTATTTTCAAAGCAAAAGGCTGTTTCATTTGGGTTATAGAAAACTGTCCTTGGGCGCCACGAAATGGATGAATATTCCACAATAATTGTTGTAACCAATTGTTTATCTACAAAAACTCAGAAAGGTTACTTGATATTGTGTCAAACGAATAGATGGAAGAAAAAATCAGTGAAGACAAATGAAAGAAATCGGAATGGTATGTTAATGAGGTACCAAATTAAAAGACAAATGCGCCATGAAAAACTCCATCAAATCAAATTTCACACACAATTAAATTATAGCCGTCGGCCAAATCAAGCGAATCAAGGAA